GGTCGTCAGAGAGAAAAAGCACGTGGTTCTACCTAAGAATCATTATGAGAAAGGGTTATCTATCCCTGGGTCCCTGGGTTTTGTGCCAACCCTCTCTCCTTCTGGAGGATCCAGGGCAGAGCCCTCTGCAGTCCAGAGTCAGTGTTCTAGGCGCATCCTTAGGTCTGAGCATGGAAAGGGCTGGGAGAAGAGAAGGCTAAAGGAAGACAATGTCCTTGGTGCCCCCAGAGGAACCTGTGTGCTAGGTACATCCCCGGAAGTGGGGAGTCAGCCACAGAAGGGATCCCCAGTTATAACCAACAGGCTGAAAACCCCTGAAGTCCCAGGAGTGACCGATGCACCTGAAGCCAGGCACTCATTGTGGCTCATCAAGAGGCTACTTGACATGCCCACCTAACAAATGAGGAGGCCCAGCTCCTTCGATTGCCTGGGACCTCATGGCTGTATGTGGCCAAGCCAGGCCACAGAAGCCACATCCAGTGGGCTATCTCCTAAAGCCGGGCAGTGTGTGGGCCTCTCTCTGGGCAGGATGGGAAGGAATGTGGCCTGCTTCCTGCAGTGTGGACCTCCTGGAGAACCTCTGGGCCCTTGGGGATCCCCCTCTGCCAGGCTAAGCCCTCAGAACTCTCTGGGAGAAACAGGCATGCACACAGGCACTCTCTCTCTCTTTCTCTCTCTCTCTCTCTCTCTCACACACACACACACCCCTATGACAGCTTCTACATTTGGAGCTGACAGATGTGCAAGGTAACAGCTCGGCACCGCCTGTGCAGCTGAGGCCCTGGCGTCGAGAGTGGGATTATTTCCAGTGAGGCTCAGGGTGGCTACGTGAGCTCACGCCCCAGTGTATGTGAGTGTGTGCATGAGAGAGAGTGTATGAGTGTGTGGGAGCGTGTGGCTTCTCCCAATATCTCTCCCTCCATCTAAATCTGTCTTACTATATTTTCAAGTCTTTCTGTCTCTGTTTCCTCCAGCCTCCTGTCCCTGTCCTACTCACCCTACCCTGTCTAGCTGTGCCCTGCTGTGTCTGTTTTTGTGTCTTGGCCTGGGTGTTCCAGAGAGGAGAGGAGACTTGCCCTTTCTCTCAGCTTCTTCTTCTTCTTCTTCTTCTTCTTCTTCTTCTTCTTCTTCTTCTTTCTTCTTTAAGATTTTTATTTATTTGAGAGAGAGAGAGAGAGAGAGAGAGAGAGAGAGAGAGAATGGGGGAGGGGCAGAGGAAGAACGGGCTCCCCATTGAGCAGGGAGCCTGAGGCAGGGGCTCAATCCTAGGACTCTGGGATCATGACTTGAGCTGAAGGCAGATGCTTCACCAACTGAACCACCCAGGTGCCCTCGTCTTCACTTTGCCCCAGCTCCTTTTCCTGTCTCACCCAGGCTGGCTATAAGGATGAACTCTTAAAGCCCATTTTGTTCTAGGTAATGTTCCTGCCCTATGCACAGGGCTCCTGCCCGGTGGGGGGATGGGGTGGACAGATTTGGGGCTATCCTGGGCCCCGAGAGAGCAGCCCCTCAACCTTGGTCTTTGGGCCTGGCCTTCTTTTCCTAACGAGCCAGTTCTCCCTGATACTCATCATTTACATGCAAATTAATATTTTAAAAGCCAATACTGCAGGCCTCTTTTGCCTCCCTGAATACTCCAAAATTGCCCTTTCTGTATTCCCAACCCCCAACACAGACTGAACCTAGCCATGGCCCTATGTTGACCCCAGATCTGGACTCACAGTGACCCTGACCCTGGTCATATATTGATCCTTAACTCTGACCTCAGGCTAGCCCCAACTCCTAACTCTGACTTTGTGCCTTAGACTTCCTTTCTCTAGGCAGCTGTCTTCTTTGATCTCTGCCAATACCACCTGGGTTTGCAAGGTTTACAGCCCACTTTTTAAATTAATGAATTAATTATTTCTCATAGCTCACTTTTTAGTGTTCTAGTGCATGTGGGGACATACCTAGATCCAGTGAATTGGAATCTGGGGTGAAGGAGAAGCAATGGGAAAGTGATTCTTTTTTTTTAATTGCCCAGGTGATTCTGACACAGGACAGCCCCACCCACTTCCATAATACATACATTTGGGCTTTCCTTTAGGGATTCCAAGGAGGAACCCAAGGTGGGATTGAACCCTCACATAAGGATGCCTGGGATGGAGGGATTTTGGCTGCAGAGACCTGACTCCCGGGCACCATCATCACACCTGAGCCATTTTAAATGCTTTACTATCCACCTGGCAGTGAGCCACTCTAGCATTCCCTGGCTCACTTGCTTGTTCACTCTCTTCATTCATTCATTTATTCATTCCTCACTCTACAGGACCTCAATGGGTTAGGTCTGGATAAGGTCTGTGGAATATACACAGGCTTTTGAACCTGAGGCCTTGGCTCCCTGGGTTGAGCTGAGGCTTGGAAGGGCAGGGTGGGGGCAGAAAAGGCCTCTCTCAGCAGTAGTGAGACTAAAAGTGAACCAGAGTATGGACCAGAGAGACTTCTGCAGCTCTAGGAGGAGACAGTAGGTCTAGGGGAGTGGGAGAGAGGCCCCTCTCTTCCAAAGTAAGGTTGGGGATCAGGGAACGTGGGCCTGTGGGCTAAGAAACCTCCAGGTAACTTCCAGGTTGGTCAGCTGAGGAATTATGCTGAGACTCTGGAGTCAGTTGGGGGGTGGTCCTGAGAGGTAGATGCCCCAAAGGAAAAAAAGGAACTTTCTTCTCTCCCTTCCTGCCTGCCTCCTTTCCTCCAACCTCTCCCTGAAAGTAGAAGTCCAAGCCTCTTCCAGTTCATAGTAAGGGCTGCTAGAGGATGAAGGATGAGCACCTGGGGATGGGGAGGATGCTCCTGAACAGTGTAGTCCCAGCTGGTCATGTTCATGGACAGAGGTGCTGGATTTCCCCCTGGGGTAGGCCTAGAATATTTGCCTCCCCTGCCTCACAGGCCAGCTGCTGGCCTCCAGCATCAGGGTATTAATCACGAAAACAAAAAACTGCCCAGCTCATTCACGTCAAAGAGAAACTTTGTTTGTCTTTTGGCTAATCTGGGGCCCTGCTCGACCTTGTGGCTGGACTCTGGGCCCGTGTAGGCATGTATTGTGTATGTGCTTGAGTGCGCTCATGTGTGCGGTGGCCAAAGCCAGGCCTTGCACTCTGGGAACACAGATGGTTAGCCCCCCAGGGTGGGGCAAGGAAATCTCACCCCATTGGTGGGAGAAGTCTGGGCCAGAGGAGCAAGGTCTGGGAAATCCTGTTGCTGGAGCCCATGGGTCACTAAGGAGGCCTTGGGCCCACTAGGGAGAGTGATCCCAGCTCTTTTGTCTTCTCTAGCTTCCTGGGGACCCCAGAGCCTTCTCAATCCCAGAGTGCAGGGAGAAAGAGATGAGGGTTGTTTCCAAGGCACTTAAATCCCTAGGCTTCCCGAGGACAAGTGTCAGGCATGGGAGGGCCTCGCCACCTGGTGGGGACATGTGGTACTCCTTACAAAGTCCTGGTCAACCAGCCTGGTGGGACAAGAGGGAAACAATCCTGCCTGATGGGGCACCCATTAGGGTTGTGCTGGTGCACTGCTCTCACACTCCCGCAGGAGCAGAGGGCTGGGTGAGGAAATCTGCCCAACACTGACCAGACAGAAGGGGCAGCCCAGGCTGGCCCAGCCCCACCTTCTGGAAGGAATCTTGGAGCTCCTCTGTTCTAAGGAGACAGCCCAGAGGACGAGGGCCCTGCTGCAAGACCCTTCAAGATCTCTCTTACAGGGGGACATGGGGCCAAGGGTTTCTAAATTCAAGGGTCGTGCATGTTCCTATGGGCCTGGTGAGTCCAGAACAAGCTGTCCAGACTGAATGCCAGCCCACCAAGGCCTCAAGCAGGGGGAGCACAGTGAGATTTCTTGCTGTAGGTCAGCAAGAGGGTGGGCATCTGGGTTGCAAGTCGGGCTCCAGATTAATCTGGATTTTGATATTCAAAGGTAATAGTATCTGAATCTCTGGGCACCTACTGCAAAACTAGCACTATGCTAAACATTTACAAATATTCAGTCACTTAATGCTCCCAATGACCCTCTGAGGGAGGTACCATTTTTCGGATAAGGAAACTGAAACAAGGAGAGGCAACTTGCCCAGGGTTACCAGCTGGCAAATGGCAGACCAGGGACGTGAGTGCCGTGGTTTTGACTCCAGTGAGGGCAAACGCTTTGCTGGGCAATGAAAGAGCAGGAGTTACTGGCTCCCTCCTAGGGAACCTATCAGGGCGCTGCCGGCTCTGGCCCACAGCCTGCCTCCTGAGCGGAGTGGCTGGGGTTCTCCTGGAGGAACGGCCTCCGTGCGCCCTCTGCTGTACATGAGGAGGAACAGAGTTCCCTCCCACAACCTCAGATGCAGGGAAGTGTCCTGGGAGACAGTGGTCTCTCCTAAATAAGGACAGAGGGCAAGGGGCCAGTTGGCTGGCTACAGACCTCCACCACTGTGGAGCTTCCACCCTGGCCCACATCCCCTGACTGGCAGAAGGATGGGTTTGTTAACATATCTGGTTTCTTAGGGCTTCCCTCTTGGAATATTGCCCACCTTCCCCAAAGGCATGTTGGCCTTAAGCCCACCCCACTAGGGACCAGAACCATGTGCCAGACAGACTTTTTCAGGAGGGCTCATCCCACGACAGACTTCCCCCTAAGGAGATCATTCAGAACATTGCCATGTGGGCAACGGGTAGGATTGGGAATCTGAGAGGGCCAGGGTGGCTGGGAATCAGGCACTGAAGCCTACTCTTTGAATAGGTCAAGGATGAGGAAAGGCTACTAAAGACTGGGGTCAGCATAGGCATCTAGAGGAAAAGGTGTCTGGGAATGTCCATCTTGTTCAACTCTGAACCTGAGCTCACCACTGGGTAGGGGTCCATGAGAACCCTGACAACTCCCCTGGAAATAAGGACAAGGCCCAAAGTTTGGGTTAATTGCCATAGGAACACCTCTGGACCAGCGAACCAGGAGTCAGTCATGGGCCCCATATCAGAGAAGGCAAGCGTTAATAAAGGACAATCTACATTTTATTTGTATCTGCTTTTCACATGCATATAAACTCTCCTTCCCCCCCCCCCCCACTGAGGGACAGATGGTAGGTTCTGGAGGGAGGAGGCATCAGAATGAGGACAAGTTCAACACAAGGTCCTGCTACCATGACCATGGGGCATCCTCGTGTGAATTTGCACTGTCCTCCCTCCCCTGTGGGCGGTGAATCTACGTGGGCCCTCCCATTTGACACCAGCTCAGCCATGGACTGGCCATGAGAGACCCAACTCCTCTTCAGGGTTTCAGCTTCTTGTCCAGCTTTTTCCATCCCTAAAGTTCTATTTCTGGGGAGACAGAAAGTCAACAACCACAATTTCTCTCGCCCAAGCTCCCCCTAACCCAGGGTGGTCAATAGACTCCTAAGAACTGGGATTCTAGCAATCTGAGGCCCTCGCTGCTAGCTGGATCTGAGGGCAGGACAGTAGGTAGGAGTGCTTATCTGGGTAAGGCGGACTTTACCAAGGTAAGGCAGGGTGGGCAGTGCCATTGTGGCAGGATGTGGGGTGGCACAGGGCTCCTGGGTGTGCCTGAGGGAGGGGGAAGAAAGCCCCAGGAAGCCAAGGCATTGGCTTATTTGTCGTAGAAGTCAACATGGGCTCCGGACTTGAATGTGTCCATTTGTAGCAAACTTAGCAGTTTCTGGGCCGACATATTACAATCCACAAGCTCCCCTTTTGTCTTCAGGTTCTGCAGCCGTTCTCGTAAGTCTGGGTCCATTGAGGTCTCCCGAGCCAACTGCTGCATGTCTGTGTCCAGGGGACCTAGGGCATGAAGAGCAGACATTGAGGGGACATGGCCCGAGGCAGGGGTCCCCTGCTGTGTGTGTGGAGTATGGTGGAGTCAGGTCTGGCCACAGGGAATACCTCACCCTGGCTGACAAGTGTGGTCAGGGTCATTCTGCCACTACTCAGCTCCAGACTCAAATTCCGATGCCCAAGGAACATGGTGTCTCCAGACCACTGTGTCTACAACCACGCTTATCATCTCCTGTCCAACCAGAACCTCCTCCTCCTGACTTTTCCATTTCTATTCATGAAGCACTCTCCTCTCAAGCTCAGAACTTCGTTGTTTTTTTTTTAAGATTTTATTTATTTATTCATAGACACACACACAGAGAGGCAGAGACACAGGGAGAGGGGGAAGCAGGCTCCATGCAGGGAGCCCGATGTGGGACTTGACCCCGAGTCTCCAGGATCACACCCAAGGTTGCAGGCGGCGCCAAACCGCTGCGCCACCAGGGCTGCCCAAGCTCAGAACTTCCATCCTCACCTCCTCCCTCCCCACTCTGTTCCTGCAGCTGACCAGTCACCAAGTAGGACGGACCCTTCTGCTTCTATATACCCCGATAGTCCGGCCCTCTGGTGCTTTCTCTGCTTCAACTCCTCCCGTAGCCCTCTGCAGAATGTATCTTGCTAAAATGTTGCTGGGATCAGCAATATGGTGGCATAAGAATTTCTAGCACTTTTCTCCAGAAACATTAATATGAACTACTAGCTGCATGTGAAATTACCTTCACAAAAGCCAAGAATTCCAGGTAAGGGATTATACTACCTGGGTGAAACACAGAAATAAGAAAGGATGCACTGAGGAAGGTAGGAAATAAGAGATTTGTACTACCCTTATCATCTGTCCCCCAAGCCCAGGCACCCCTGTGTAGAGACACTCTCCCTATGGGAGGAGAGTGAAGTAAGCACCTGACTTCACAGGGGATCCCAGAGCCAACCCGCTGTAGCATGGGGCCAACTCCCATGGCCCTAGGTGTCTCCCTATGGGCTTCCATAAACCCAGGCCCCCAGCTAACCCCAGTTCCAGTGGCCTCTGCAGCCCCAAGTGGCTCCCACAGCCCCACACAGCTCCTATAGCACAGATTCCCACAAACATAGGCCCCAGGATCATTCTGGTGCCTGCTGGCTCCAGCCAGCTCCAATGGCCCCAAGTGGTTCCAGGCTCCAGAAAGCCCCAAGAAACCCAGGCCGCCAATCCATTCCAGTATAAGCTGGTCCTTGTGGCCTCAGGTTGCTCCCATGGTATCAGGCTACTGACAAGCCCTCATGAACCTAGGTACCTGGCATATTCCAGCCAGCTCCTATGGCCCTAGATGCCTCCAAGTTTGCAATCAGTGCCTGTAAACCCAGGCTCTATGGAGGCACCCACAAACCCAGGCTCCCTGCCAGGCTCAGCACCAGACTGACTACCATGAACCCAGGCTTTCAACCCACCCCAGCAACAGGCTGCCCAAAGACTCCAGCAGCAAGTCTGATGCAGATGACACCAGGTGGTTCACCTAGATTCACTGGATAGGCTGACTGTTAAAGGGCTTTGCCTACTGGAGTCAGCCTGTAAAGACTGGGAGAGGTGCTTACTTCCTCAAAAACAGACACCGACATAGGGCCACAAGGATCATGAATCATCAGGGACATGTGATACAACCAAAGGAAACCTCTAAAACTCCAATGACTGACCCTAAAGAAATTAGATCTATGAACAAATAATTTAAAATAATCTTCTTAGAGAAATTCAGTGAACTACAAGAAAATATAGATAGATGGGGTGCCCAGGTGGCTCAGTTGGTTAAGTGTCTGATTCTGGGGTTCAGCTCAGGTCATGATCTTAGGGTGGTAGGATCGAGCCCCATATAAGGCTCTGTGTTCAGCATGGATTCTGCTTGAGATTCTCTCCCTCTCTCCCTTTTTCCTCTCTCCCTGCTCACATGCACTTTCTCTCTCAAATTAATAAATAAAATCTTAAAAAGAGAGAAAATACAGATAGACAGCTACATGAAATTAGGAAAACTATGCATGAACAGAATAAATTCAACAAAGAAATAGAAACCACTTTAAAAAACCCAACAAACTGAAATCCTAGAGTTGAAGAATAAAATGACTAAAGAATTCAAGAGAAGTCAACAACAGATTCAACCAAGCAGAAGAATAAAATTTTGTTCTTCTTCAAGCAGAAGAAAGAAATTACTCAATTAGAAGACAGATCATTAGAAATCATCCAGGCAGAAGAGTACAAAATAAAAAAGAACAAAAAAGAGTAAAGAGGACTTAAGGGATATTGGAATCCCAGAGAAATAATGGCTGAGAACTTCCCAAATCTGGGGTAAGATTTGTACATCCAAGTTCATGGAGCTAATAAGTCACTCCAAAATTTCAACACCCCCCCCCCCAATAATTATCTTCTTCAAGACACTCAGCCTACATGATTTCACTGGTAAATTGTGTCTGTCTTTATGCCAATACCATAGTGTTTTTATTACTATGTCTTTGTAATATAGTTTGAAATCAGGGAGTTGATGCTTCCAGGTTTCTCTTTCTCAAGACTGCTTTGGGTATTTGGGATCTTTTGTGGTTCCATACAATTTTTACAATTGTTCGTTCTATTTCTGTGAAAAACGTCATTGGAGTTTCGATAGGGTTTGCATTGAATCTGTGGATGTATTTGGGTTGTATGAACATTTCAACAATATTAACTCTTCCAATCCATGAACACAGAATATCTTTCCACTGATTTGTGTCTTCTTCCATTTCTTTCATCCATGTCTTATGGTTGTCAGTGTACAGGTCTTTCCCTCCTTGGTTAAATTTGTTCCTATTTTGTTCTTTTTGATGCAGTTGTAAATGGGGCTGTCTTCTTAATTTCTATGATAGCTCGTTATTAGTGTACAGAAATGCAGCTGATTTTTGTGTATTATTTTGTATCCTGCAACTTTACTGAATTTATTAGTCCTTAAAAAAAAGTTATGTATTTATTCATGAGAGACAGAGAGAGAGGAGGGAGAGAGAGAGAGAGAGAGAGGCAGAGACATAGGCAGAGGGAGAAGCAGGCTCCTCACAGGGAGCCCAATGCAGGACTCAATCCCGGATCCCGGGATCATGACCTGAGCTGAAGGCAGGAGCCCAGCCACTGAGCCACCCAGGTGCCCTGAATTTATTAGTCCTAATAGTCTTTTGGTGGAGTTTTTGGGTTTCCTATATATAATATGTCATCTACAAATAGATAGTTTTACCTCTTTTTGATTTAACTGTCTTTTCTTTTTCTTGCCTAATTGCTCTGGCTAGGACTTCTAATACTATGTTAAATAAAAGTGGTGATAGTGGTTTCCTTGTCTTGTTCCCAATCTTAGAGGGAAAGTTTTTTTAGCTTTTCATCATTGAGTATGCTGTTAGCTATAGATTTATCATATATGGTCTTTACTATGTTGAGTACATTCCCTCTACCCATTTTTTTTTTTTAGTTTTTTTAAATCATAAATTGATGTTAAATTTTGCCAAGTATTTTTTTCTGTCTCTACTGAGATAATCATATGATTTTTATCCTTCGCTTTATGAATATGGTATACTGTATTGATGAATTTGCAGAAGTTCAATCAGATCCAACCCAATCAAATGACATTCTGGAGTCGGCTCCACACCAGACTGTGGTTTTTGTTTGCCCCAGCTGATTGAGTAAGTCCTAGGCTGAGTCCAGAGGGGTGCCAAGTTCAATCAACACATTCAATCGTGTTATTCTTATAGAATAAGTGTATGGGGATCCCTGGGTGGCTCAAAGGTTTGGCGCCTGCCTTTGGCCCAGGGCACGATCCGGAGACCTGGGATCGAGTCCCACATCGGGCTTCTGGCATGGAGCCTGCTTTTTTTTTTTTTTTTTTGGTTTCCTTTTCCCTCTGCCTGTGTCTCTGCCTCTCTCTATCATGAATAAATAAATAAATCTTTAAAAAAAACAAAGAATAACAGTGTATGTGTTAGGAAGGAAGGGAAGATTGGGTACTAGAGAGCATGAGGAAGTAAAAGTAGCACTGGTCATGAACTTGGAGGCAAGGTTTGATCCTGGCTCTGCCGCATTTGGGCTCTGGTCAGGTCTTTCTACATTTTGCCCCCAGGTTCCAAGGGGAACAGACCACTGGAACTCTAAGTCACTTAGATATTATACAACAGCTTTGTCACTGTCTTCTAATTCCCCCAGCCTCAAGTCTAGTACAGAAGCCTTATTTTTTGGGATGCCTGGGTGGCTCAGCAGTTGAGTGTCTGTCTTTAGCTCAGGGAGTGATCCTGGAGTTCTGAGACTGAGTCCTACATCGGGCTCCCTGCATGGAGCCTGCTTCTCCCTCTGCCTATGTCTCTGCCTCTCTCTGTGTCTCTCATGATTAAATAAGTAAATAAAATCTTAAAAAAAAAAAAAAAAGGAAGCCTCACTTTTCAGAAAGGAGAAGAGTGTATCATGGCAGGGTAGTGAGAAACCAGACCAAGTATCACAAGACTCCTTATTGTTTAACTTTTGTGAAGATAGGGCCCTCTCTTATTTATCCCAGCATCCTCTTGGTATTCTAGCACAATTTAGCCTGGGGTGGCCAGCATTTCATAATGTCTCTCTGCTCTTCATTCAATTAACATTACTGAAGACTGACTCAGTGAGGTGCTTTGCTAGGTGCTTGGAACATACAGGTGCACAGTGCAAAGTTCCTGCCTTCAAGGCTTTTCAGGAGAAAGTAGTATAGATAATACAGTGTGATAAGTTCTAATATTTAGAAGTGCTAGCAGTTAGATAGCACTTCATGGCTAGGGATCATTTTCATATATATTACCTCATTAAGTCCTCTAATCTGCCCTGTAGACAGATAGCATCTTCCTGTTTCACATAAGGAAATGTGGGCCAGGCCTGAAATTCAAACCCTAAACCCTTTCAACTCTAGTATCTCAGACTTTCCAGCCCCACCCTCCAGGCCGGGCAACTGCCTTTCACCTTATCTTCTAAACACACTCCTTATCCCAGCTGGCTCTAACTTCTGGAGCCTACATTTTCCTTAAGGAATGATGGTTAAGAATTCAGGGACAATATACTCTGTGGGTTCTTTCTTGGAGGGGACAGACTAGGCCCTCTGCACACCCCCCAGAGGTGAACCAGCAGGTTCCTGGTGACACCTACCTGGGGCATAGCTCAGCACCCTGACACTGGGTTCCTCTGCGGCTAGGACCTGGAACATCATGTCACGGGCAGCCTTCCCTGCACAGTACAATCCCCAGCCTTTGAAAGGCTGCAGAGCACAGAGGGATGAGATGTTAACCATGGTCCTGCTGAGGCCAGGACTGTCTGGAAAGGCCTTCAGGATGGTGGTAGTCAGGCATAGCATGGAGGTCAAGTTGACAGCCCAGTAGTTATTTACTTCAGCTGAGTCGCCCAGGTCCACGAAGCCTTTGGACACGTCCCCAAGAGTGCCTGAAAAAACAGACCTTAAGGAATCAGGGTGTGCAGGCAGGTCTTTCTTTCCCCAGCCCTCCCCAAATTCCTCTAGATACCCCCTTCCTAACTAAACTTGGAGGAGTCTCCCTAGTGTTTCTGAAGACACCTCCCTCTTCCCAGCTCCGCAGACAGACACACCTGGGGTTGTTCACAGTCACCCCAAGTTGCAAAATGGAAATGTCATACCCTGCTCTGGACCTGAGAGGAGGACTCAACGGGCCATTTGGAAAAGCGGGTAATTTACTTTTGCAGGAAGACCTCATGCCCTGACTCAGGCCTCCGCCAGAGGGCGCAGAGCAAGGCGATCGGGAAAGTTCTACAGTCATTTCAGAAAATTTGCCTGAAATGGGAAGGAAGGTGGGGGGGATGGGGAAAATGGGTCGCGCCGAAGGCACGGAGTCTTTCTCCATGACTTGCTGTAACAACTCAGATTTTCAGGCATCTTTTCTGACTCCTAAGAGTTCCCAGCGGTGGGGAAAGTGAGAGGGAGGTTGAAGAGACAGGGGCTAAGCAGTAGTCCGGGGCTCTCCCGGGGAGTCCGCCCCCGCCGGCCGGCGCCTTACCCGCATTGTTGATGAGAAGCACCCGCTGCAACCGCTCGGGCCTGGGGAGCTCGCGTAGGGCGCCGAGCAGCTGCTGCAAATCGGCCTCGACGCCCAGGTCGGCGGGCACACTCAGCACGCGCAGGCCGGGCCGCCCGGCGTCCAGCTCGGCCTCCAGCTGCCGCAGCGCCTCGTTGTTGCGGGCGCTTAGGACCAGCACGGAGCCGGGCGCCAGCAGCCGGGCCAGGAGAGGCGCCAAGGCCCGGCCGAAGCCGCGGGAGGCCCCGGTCAGCACGCACACGGCGCGTCCCAGGCCGCCCTCCTCGCCGCTGCCACCCTGCATGCCTGCGACCTGCGACCGCGGGCGCTGGGACCCTGGGCTGGCGGGGGCGGGGCGGCCGCCGCTGGAGGAGGCGGAGGCGGGGCGGAGAGGGCGGGAACCCGGGCTGCGGCGGCGACCGCGGCGCCCCTTGCCTCGGCCGCCCGTGGCGGAAGTGGAGGCGCCTGCGCGGTCTGGGTCGGCCTGAAGGGGCTAAACCTAAGGGGTCCGGAGGACCGGCTTCGACGCGAGTCCTGGCCCAGTTCTGGGCCTGGCTTCGTTCTGCCGCCACCGCCACCGCCACCGCCACCGCCACCGCCACCCACCCTGCTTCCCAGCACCTTCGCTCGTTCATACCCGCGGCATCCGCCTCCCAAGTTCACACCGCACCTCCCTGCACAGGGGACCTCCTGCAGGCCGGGCCAGGCTGCTCGGCGCTAGGCATCCCTGGAAGTGGCCCGCAAAAGCCCTGAGTGCAGCACCTGCCAGTTTAGGGCTCTGGCAACTCCCCGCTCTCAGGTGGACCTGAGCTACCTCTGGGAGCTCCACAGTGGCTCCTCCAAGTGATGTAAAAACCTCTTCTCCCTTTCGAGACTGAGGGCAACTCTGTGCTCGGGCCAGTTCCCCTTCCTCTGGGATTTCTGAGTCCTGCGCCAACAGGTCTGGACTACCTGGATTTCTGCACCCACTCCCGCTACACTTTTCCCAGCACTCGCACCCACTCCCAACTTCTGAAAGGTGACTGCAAGTGCCTCCATTTTGACCTTCCAATTTTTTTTTAAGATTTTATTTATTCATGAGAGAGAGAGAGAGAGAGAGAGAGAGAGAGAGAGAGAGAGAAGCAGGCTCCATGCAGTAAGCCCTGACGCGGAACGTGGGACTGGATCCTGGGACTCCAGGATCATGCCCAGGGCTGAAGGCAGGTGCCAAACCGCTGAGCCACCCAGGGATCCCCACTGACCTTCCAACTTTAAGTTCTTTCTAGCTTATCTCTGAACTCAGGCCACCCAACCCTCAAGCAATAGGGACTGTCCTAAGCCAGCACGACCTCCTGTGATTGACCTCAAGACAATGGTTGGTTTGACCTTCACCATCTATCCGCAGTATCCACTGACGTTTGCCGCACATTTCCTTATTTAAACCTGGAAATATTTTTGGCGCTTTGAAGACAGTCTTTGAGTCTTTAGTCTGCTCTCTTCCGAATGCTGGCCTCACTGAAATAAATTCCTTTCTGATTTCACCGCCACTCCTCTCTCTGCCTTTGGGTTTTGTCAGCTGTGATTGGCCAAACCTGGCCTGTTTGGGACCCTCTGAGCCAAGTGTCCTTGCACCCCTGTGCCCTGGCTACATTTCAAGTTTTGTAATCACCTGAATCTATACTTCCAGACCTGTACTTTAGAAAACCTACATTTCTGATTTTTTTTTTTTTCACGGAGAGAGGGAAGATGAGAAGTTGGGACACGACTACAAATCTGCTTAACAAGGAGACCTTTCAGGGTTTATCAAGGTGGTAAGTAACCTCTGATAACTCAACCCAAGTCTTTTTTCTTTTCTTTTTTTTTCAACCCAAGTCTTCATAGGGTTCTTCTCTCTCTCAGGATAGACAGCAAAGTTGCCTTTCAGGGCTCCAGAATAAATGCGTTTTGCTTCCTTGTGCTGTGTGAGCCATTATATCAACACCAAAACAACTTGAGGAAGAGGTTTTTACTGGTCAACATGGGAGCACTTACTGCAAACTTTTTGTAAAATGTGCAGTTCAGATTATATGTTACCATGGAACATGCTCTAACAACAAATGAAACTGCACAGAAATCTTAAATGTCATTTAGACTTATTGTCAATATGCACAGTATTATTTTGAAATTATTTGATAAAAAGCAGGACCAAAAAAAAATAATTATGCTAATGTTGTTAGGAGCTAAAATTTTCAGTGTTAAAGAGGCTAGGTATAAATTGAAGGAAGTCAAGGGAAAAGTTGAAAACTGAAAATTTGTATTGGAGACCAAAAAAACTGTAGTATTTATTGTGACTACATTTACAACAAAATAACACTAAAACCATGTTTTTTCTCTTCTGGGTGTGTTGGTTCTCCAGTACCTATGACTTCCTGCAACAATGGCAGAGATTAGAATATGCCCTGTGAAAACTAATGAAAGGAAATCTCCTTTAGAATGGAGGCCCTCAGGGTGAGCTCTCATGCCCTGTCACTTATCAATTAGACACCCAAGGGAAGAGAGAGACCTTGCACATGAATGCTGCTTTATTATTCCAGCGGGAGGAAGAAAGGCTTTCTCCTACCCTGGCAACAGCCCAGCCAATGAGACACTGCTACAACTCAGCCAATGAAAAGCCATTATACTTTGAACTCCCAGTTTATTCCAAAGGACTTTCTGTTTATAACTTCCAACTCCCCCATTTCCTCTATAAAAGAGCATTCCTCTCTTCTGTTGGAGTGACTTACCTATAGTTCTGTAGGAGAGTGATTTCTCTGCTCTTCCTGAATAAACTCATTTTTGCTGGTAAAATAAATGACAGTTTTGTTTATAAAGGTTCATGTTACTTGGTGATCTTCAGAAGTGGGATGCAAAGAAGACCCCCAACAGCTACCAGACTTCTGAATAAACAGGCCTGCACCCACAGAGCCAGTTGGGCTCCTATTGCTTTCTGGCTGACCCTCGAGTTTGAGGTAAGTTTTCTCCTGGATTTTGAGCTCTGTGCTTTGTGTGTTTGTATTATCTGGGCATTATTAGGATGTTTTCAGGTCTTGTTTGTTTTTTCTTTGCAAGTGCTTGTTTAGCTTTTGGTTGGACTTTTTGGGGACTGTTCCTGTTCCCATTGGAACTGTGCCCGTTGGACCCATGCTTCCATCAGACTCCTGTTTGGAACCAGACTGTCCCTATTGGAACTGTACTGGACTTTAGTCTGATTCCTTCTGGAACCAGGCTGTTCCTGATGAAACCATGCTGTTGAGTAAGTTTTCTCTTTGCCCTAGAGAAAAATCTCTAAGAAATGGAATCACAGTCATCAAGATGCTTTGAGGGTGCTGCCCACCCCCCTGCCCTTACTGGGACTCTGGCTGGTTTTGTTTTATTTTATAAGATTTTTTATTTATTCATGAGAGGTACAGAGAGAGTGGCAGAGACATAGGCAGAGGGAGAAGCAGGGTCCTTGTGGGGAGCCTGACGCAGGACTTGATCCCAGGACCCCGGGATCATGACCTGAGGCAAAGGCAGACGCTCAACCCCTGAGCCACCTAGGCATCCTTCTGGCTGGTTTTATGTTTAAAAACTATGGTCCCTCTGCATGTACATTTATAACTAAATGGACTAACTTAACCGAAAGTAATTTAGTACATCAATGGCCATTATGGGGAACTTTTCATCTCTTCAGACTTATTTTATTTATTTGTTTGTTTGTTTATTTATTTATTTATTTATTTTAAAGATTGTATTTATTTATTCAGAGAGACACAGGCAGAGGGAGAAGCAGGCTCCATGCAGGGAGCCCGATGTGGGACTTAATCCCAGGTCTCCAGGATCACACCCCAGGCTGCAGGTGGCACTTAACTGCTGCGCCACCAGAGCTGCCCTCTTCAAACTTATTTTAAAATTAAAAATTAAATTAGGGCAGCCCGGGTGGCTCAGTGGTTTAGCGCCACCTTCAGCCCAGGGCCTGATCCTGGAGATCTGGGATCGAGTCCTACATCAGGCTCCCTGCATGGAGCCTGCTTCTCCCTCTGTCTGTGTCTCTGCCTCTCTCTCTCTTTCTGTGTGTCTCTCATAAATAAATAATAAAATCTTAAAAAAATAAAATAAAATAAAATAAAAATTAAATTAGAGAGCCACGGCTCCTCAAAAGAAAAAAAAGAAAAAAAAAAAGAATGGGATGCCTATTTTAAAGGTGACAGAGTATGCAGTTAGACATAAGCTGAAGTCAAATATGGTGATAAATAGGTTACACATTAGAAGCCTGGGGGTAGGGCAGCCTGGGTAGCTCAGCGGTTTAGTGCGCGCCTTCAGCTCAGGGCCTGATCCTGGAGACCAGGGGTCGAGTCCCAGGTCGGGCTCCCTGCAGGGAGCCTGCCCTCCCTCTGCCCCTCCCTCTGCCTGTGTCTCTGCCACAGGCGTTCTCGCTCTCTCTCTCTCATGAATAAATAAATAAAATCTTTAAAAAAACAGAACTTTTAAAAAAAAGAAGCCTGGGGGTACAACATCCTGACTTTGTGGCTTCCAAGACGGTGGAGCTAACAGATCAAGAGCCACAGGTGCAGAGCATGCTTGCTCCTCTTCCACCTCTACCACTGCCCCCTCTCCCTGCCCCAGGGTAACCTATAGCTTCATTGTAATATATTCACATTGTGGTTACAACCTCACCCCTGTGGGGTAGGATGGCCATAAAAGTTCCAGCAAGAACTGCATAGGACAAAACCCTCCCCCTCCCAACCAGTAGGTGGTGTCCCTTAGACGGCCCTATCTATGACCTATACCCTATGCATATGTAAAAAGAAAAGACACCCCTAATCCCTGTGCACCTGCCACCTCTGGGCCTGCCCATGCCACCCAGGCATCCCTATGTGATTGTTTTTGTTTCTCTCTCTCTCTCTCTCTCTTTTTTTTAAAGATTTATTTATTTTTTTATTCATGAGAGACATGGGGGCGGGGGGGGGGGCGGTGCAGAGACACAGGCAGAGGGAGAAGCAGGCTCCATACAGGGAGCCCAACATGGGACTCAATCCCTGGTCTCTAGGATCAGGCCCTGGGCTGAAGGCAGCCCTAAACCGCTGAGCCACCCGGGCTGCCCCTCTCTCTATTTTTTAGATTTCACAAAGAGGAGAGATCATTACTGTATTTACCTTCTCTGACTTATTTCGCTTAGCATAATATTCTTGAGGTCCATTCATGTTATTGCAAATGGCAAGATTTCCATTTGAAACAAAACATAACAGGGATCCCTGGGTGGCGCAGTGGTTTGGTGCCTGCCTTTGGCCCAGGGCGTGATCCTGGAGACCCAGGATCGAATCCCACATCGGGCTCCCGGTGCATGGAGCCTGCTTCTCCCTCTGCCTGTGTCTCTGCCTCTCTCTCTCTGTGTGACTATCATAAATAAATAAAAAATTTTTTAAA